TTAAAAATAATTTTAATAATTAACATATTTTTTTCAATACGATAGTGAATAATAATATAACTCAATATACTCAAAGAGATATTGTTTTGTATCTACAATATTATTTATTAACACTTATTTAAGTTTTTTAAAATATTGGAATTGATTAAATTGTATAATTGCTTGACATTTATGCTGTGTCATATTTTAAAATGTCTGTTTACTTACGTGCTTGTACTAATAAAATTAAAACGATTGTAATGAATGAGCTGAATTGAAAGACATTAATTTCCTCTTTATAAACAATTTATCATTAGATAATTATGATTCATTAGATAATTATTGATTTATAAGATAATTATGATATTTACATACATATATACATTACATATGTTATCTTGAAGAAATTTGTAGTCAAATTAAAATAGTCTAAAGTCAATCTGACATTTGAATTAAACAGAATTTCAGATTTTAATTGAATTTGAACTTACTTATAAAAGCTATGATATCTGCATTAATAAAATAAATAGATAAATAAATAATTAAAATAATAAATACAACACTTTACTAAGAAGTGCATCTAAATAAAACATAAACAGTTATTTTCGCTTCACTCGCTATTCGAGTTGCTTTAACAAATTGAGGTTAATTATGAATGTCACTTCTCAAGTGTAAAAATTCAATTTCTAATAAATCGCAGACAATCAATGTGTGTGTGTGTGTGTGTGTCAATTTATTTGACCCATGTATTTATTATTTTGCATTTGATTATTGGGTGGTCTCGTTAATAATGCGAGACCAAGGAAATATATTACTTTGTTGAGTCTCAATAAGAAAAACTTCGAGAGATTCTTCAATAATCCTCCTTCTGCAGTCACTCCTTTGACTCGAGAAATAACGCAGGGGATACAGAAAACAAGAGATACAACGTTATGAAAAAGATCAGTGAAAAAAACAATCATCGATGGTTTTTCGATTTTTCTATGTCTTCATGTAGATTATATTTAGAAATTATATGGGAATATTTAAATGAGCGGAAGAGCAACTCCGAGGACAGCCTGGAATTTATCATATGTCACTCATCACAAGACAAATCGACAAAACAATCTTGGAGCAAGGAAAAATTCTTGAAAGATTCTGGAAAAATTTCAATGTGTGACTCTCAACAAAAAAGAGGATCGCATATCGTTGCCCACGTTCGCAGATGAGTACGGAATGATATTAGCGTTTCTAATTTATGCGTGTTGCATTAAGATAAAAAATAAATAAATAAAAATAAATAAATAAAAAAAAAAAAAAAGAATTTTAAATGAAATTTGTCATGCTTCTTATAATTTTTATTGTGTGTATATTCCTACTTTACGTTATATATTTCTGATGATAAAAAGTGTTTCTGTTGTTAAAAATCATTCTATTTCTACATTGATCATTTTATTTAACTAATCTATTTTACATATAATAAGATGCTTTATGTAAGTAAAATAATAAAACTTCTAATTATAAAGTTTAATATATTTATACTTTATAATTTAACATTTTATATACGTTAATTAATTATCTAGTATAATTAACTTAAAACTTTACATACAGAATGAAGGAAAAAACTTTATTGGTTGACGAAAATAGAGCAGCAGTTACTACTTAATTTGTTAATATATTAATAATTTCTTGTTACATATTAATCTAGCACAATAACATTATATTATTAATACAAACTTGATATATAATTTAATAATTTAGAGATAATAGAAGAAAGAATAAAATAGCTTAAAGAACTACCAGCATTGATCGTACTAGATAATATCGTACTGTCTGTATTGCCATGTTCCGAAGCTAGACAACAAGGTACGAGTCTGTTGATTCAAAGCGACAACTCGATTAGAAAATTGTTCCTGTAGTGTATATTCTTGTTTAGTATTTCTCTCCAATAGCAAGACTTTCTTGCTTTCTAGTCTTCGATTATTTCCTGAAATAAATATATATTTCCACTCTTTTTCACACACAGAAAATTTGACAAAAACACTTGATGACTTGAAAGAACAGACTATTTTAAGAAAAATGCCAAAATACAATTATAATTCCGTCAACTAAAAATCATTACAAGTACAGTATTGATACAATATTTATAAATTAATCGTATATTAAATTAATACCATGATTGAAATTATTTTTTCTTCTAGTGTACATAAATCTTAAATTATGCGTTGCATGAAAAATTTTTGTTTATAAAAGTTTTATCTTATGAAATATAAAATCAATTTTTTTATACAGAGTGAGTTTTATTTCGTGTGTCAATCTTTTTATCATGCGGGAGATTATCGACTGCATAATAAATTGATCGGTACATGAATGTCAATTTTTTTTATCGTCCGTATCGAAGGTCCGAATATAATGTGTACAATAATAATAATAATAATAATAATAATAATAATAATAATAATAATAATAAATACGTAGTTTTATTAATAATAATAATAATGAATCCATACTACATAAGTTCAGCTTTTAATTTGCTTTAATTTTATACATTATATTCAAGCCTTTGATACGGTCGATCCAAATAATTGACATTTATGTACCGATCAATTTATTATGCAGTCGATAATCTCCCGCATGATAAAAAGATTGATACACGAAATAAAACTCACCTTGTATTGTGACATCTCGACCAATAATTTTCTTCTTTTTACTGTATAAGTAATAAATTCCTTCTTTACCTTATTGAAATTTGTGAAGTTCCATCTAATATTACAAAAGAGCAAGATTGAAAAAAATATTATCTTTTGCTAGCATTAGCATTATAATTACATTTAGCCTTAATTATATTTTAATTAATTTTAATTATATTTCAATTAATTACTTTAAATAATTATTTTAGCCAAACTTATTAGAGTTATAGTATTAATTTTATACTTATATAAAAGAATTATAGGTTTATCCACGAATGATGCATTGTACAAAGGAGCGATTTTAAAACGCCTTTAAGATTCGGCGAGTATTTGATCTATTATGGAATGTAATCCATAATCATAGATAACAATCGTTACAGGTAGTCATTCTCTCGTTATAACATCATTTGTAAATTTTCGGTTAATTAAATATTCCATTTAAGCAATATCGGAATTAGGTCCCTAGCGAAAATGAATATTCGGAGCGTAAGTCGAATGTAAGGAAGTGTAATAGAAGCGTAAACAAAGCTCCTAAGAAGCGTAAATTTGCATTATCTATTCCCCCACCAAATCGTATTAAAGAGGACCAGCGTCTATCGGCATTGTCACGGAAGACCAGAAGTTTTTTCTCCGGCTTACAGTCAAGACGTACTCTGATTTTCACTGATTGTTCACTGCATTATTCACTGACTCAATTGTAAATGCTTATACACTTCTATTCTATACAATATACGTATAGTTATAATTGGTAAGAGATTTTCTACGAGATATTTTACTGAGAACCACTCTTTACCACCGAATTTTAAAACGCATTATCTATTGGAAAATTCACACTGCGGGATTTTTGAATTTTGAGCGATACTTCTGACAGATCTAGAAGGAAGGAAGGAAGAATATTAATTATCCTCCTAGTAAATAAGGGATAATTAAAAATTAGGTGAGTTAAGATTATTTTAATCTTTTTCTATTATATTATTATATTATTATAATTAAAATTAAATTCATTAATTTAATTTTCATTGCATTATTTAACATAGTTTTGTCATTATTTTTATTTTACTTGATATAATTATTTTGTACGATTCATTATTACTATGATTAATAATTATTACTTTGATTTATAATTATTGATTATCCTATTATTTGAGTTCATTATTACTAAAAAAAAACCTTATAAAGGTAAAAAAATATGCCAAGTACATAAAAAATCAAAAAATCTAAAAGTGATAAAAATAAAATATTTAAAAACCGATATGAGATCAATACTATGAGCCAAGTACAATAAATTATGTGATATTAATTCGTAATCTAAATGAATTAAAATTACTGTAATTCCTAAAATTTTTTATATGATGTATATAATTTAAAAAAGCTTTACACAAATTCTGAATCGCATAAATGACCTTCAGGTCGAAGTAAGATAACTTGGTGAAAACTTGGTGTGCCCCGTATTTAAATCATATAGTTTAAAATAGGAAAAAGCTAGATTTTAGATGGGTCCGATGGAAAATTTAAAATTACACTACGGACCGTGCACGTGCGTAGCTAAATTTCGAACTTATATATCTTGTCTCCTTTGTATTACCTGGAAATCATCATATAGAGATTAGGCAAAGTGAAATCTTTTTTTTTATAAGTTTTTTTTATTTTCTCTGCAAGTAAAGTTTGATTGTTGTAAGCTGGATTAAAAAGCTTCGCAGGTCGTTTCTGGTCCATAGGTTGACTGTTGCATATTCGTAATCTAAAGCTTATTTTATAAAAATTATAAATTGTACTTACTAAATGAAAGGATTAACAAATATATATTGTATATATGTATATTGTATAATCAATTTTTTTATTTTATTCAAGATATGTAAACGGGAAGGGGTGGGGACACATCAAGTTTTCATATCTTACTTCGACCTGAAGGTCATTTGTGCAATTTAGAATTTGTGTAAAGCTTTTTTAAATTATATACATCATATAAAAAATGCTTTAGGAATTAAAGTAATTTTAACTCATTTAATATCGATTACGAATTAATATCACATAATTTATTGTATTTGGCTAATAGTATTGTCATATCAGTTTTTAAATATTTTACTTTTATCACTCTTTTAGATGTTTTGATTTTTTTATGTACTTGGCGTATTTTTTTACTTTTATAAGATTTTTTTTAGAGAATCTCATTGCTTTTTGTAAAAATTTATATTAATTTATTATAAAGAAATTTCAATACAATTTTTATTGTAAGATAAATTTTGAGAAATATATTGTCATAATTTTAATTGAGATTTGATTCGCGTTTTAATACGTTGATCGATTCCAGCTATATTTCTTTAATCGATGTCATTCTTAATATTGCAAATTTTTTTACCCCCTCAACACTGTGATTATATGCGGTGATTGCTGCTCGGAGGCAATTGCATATCAGTCGACAGAGACAGATTTGCAAGCAGTTAGTGAAACGCCTGCATCCTGCTCACGATACCGTTCTTCGAATAGATTCGCCACATTGTTTATAAACTCCTCTTCCAAATTTTTCAGCAGTTTCTTTTCTCTCTCGGTTGTCACAAACAAAACGAACTGAGAGAATCTGTACGAAAATTATAGATAGAATTATATATCATCGTGGTTAAATCAGGTATTTATCTTTCCTTATTGTTTATAAAAATCCAAAAAATAATGTACTTAGATTAAAGTTAGTTAAATTTTTATATTACATTATTCAAGGAAAATCAGGTGAAAATTAATAACAGTTGATTCCTAGAGAGGTGATAGTTTTCTTTTTTGATTTTACTACACATTTTTGTATCTTGTTATAATATACATAATTCAATTCGCCATAATATTCCTCGATTCTTTGATGATTAATTTCTCAGCTAATCGCCAACACAATTTATGACATGGTTTCTAAAGGATAAACAAAACCACTTATTAATACATACATCATTCCTTATTCGCGGAAATTCTATTAAGTAGGAGAACAAGTTACCGCAAGCAACGTGATAATAAGTCCAATTAGAAGAAATCTATGTCAAACGATGTTTTCCAAAATGTTTTTAAAAAAAACATAGTTGTTTTAAGAAAAAATATGTAATTTGCAATTAACAATTACATTTTTTTTTTAAACAACTATGCGTTTTTCTTACACTAATCAATTCCACTCATTATTTTGTACATAAAAGTATTAAGGTGAGGTAATCGAAAAATGAATTTTACTAGATATTTTACTACATATTTTATGGTTTATGTAAAATTAAAAAAATTATTTCAAGCCTCATAATTCAATAAGTACTCAATGAAGAAATACTTTATTATAGAGTTTTGGATAGCACTCGAAATAAGCTACAAAAATATGTAATGAGAAAGAGTAGGTTCCATTTAAGAAATTGGAGATGACTTTCATGTAACTTTCAAATAACTCTGCAAGGTCAAACCAATGATACCGTCTTATAGCCCCCTTCAAGCCATACAACTTTTGTCTAACAATAAAACATTTTTTCTAAAGTGCATAGTTTATGAAATATTCGAACGTCCCGGAACTTTTGGCAGGCACTGTAGAAATGTATTACATGTATTTTACAAACACATATGCCTATATGTTGTGGATATACAGAGTCATACTACTACTTAAGTATCATGGCAAGCAAGAACGCGCAACAGGAAATCATTAATTTGACGTCGACATAATTAGAGAGTTGTACTGGCAAGATATTTACATGATGAGTCATCATCATGTAATATTAACCTTCGATTCGAAAAATCTCATACTGTGAAGCAGTATATTGCGCGTTAATCGCGGAATCAACACTGTTCGTAGAAGATAGCGTCGAGCTGATTTAATCCTTTGCATTTGATAGATCTACGCTTTTTAAAAAACTAGCAACTCGAAATGTTTCGATAAAAAAGTGATGAAATTTTTTACCGCCAACATAAAAATAAAACATATATAATAATATATAATAATATATAATAATAATATATAATAATATATAAAACATATATAATAAAACATATATAATAAATGAACAGATATGGAGAATTGTTGTAAAGAACTATTGTATTTTTCAAAAGTTCATGTATTTTTATATTATAGAAAACTTTATATCGAATATTCAATTATTTTAATCAATAATAGTTGAAACAATAAGAACAAGGCTTTACTACGAAGTGTACCTAAATCGAACATAAACAGTTAGTATCGCCTCTCACTCGCCACGCGAGTTGCTACATCAAATCAAGTGACGATTGATTGTGAAAGTCATTTCTCAAGTGCAAAAGATCAATATTCTATATCGATTCGTAATGTGTGTATGTCAATTTATTTGATCCGGATATCTTTTTAAGAATGCGAGTCCGAAGAAACATATTACTTTGTCGAGTCTCAGTAGAAAGAACTTCGAGTGAGCCTTCAGAAATCGTTTGACACGAGAAACAACGCGCAGGATACAGACTATAAAAACAAGAGATCCAACATTATGAGTAAGGTCAGTAAAAAAAACAATCATCGATGATCTTTCGATTGTTCTATGTCTTGACGTAAATTATATTTAGAAAGGATATCAGAATTTATGGAAGAGGACAATAAATCCGTCGACATTTAGCAGCTCCGAGGGCAGCTTGGAATCCGTCATATGTCACGCAGCACAAGACGACGAGTCGACGACGCAGAAACAACCTTGGAGCAAGGAGGAGATCGAAAAAGCAATATCAAGTCTTCCGAAAGGCGACATAGCTTTATCTCTGATTCCTACTCTTCATGGCGATGCTCTACAAAAGGTTCTGGAAGAATTTGAAGGTGTAACTCTCAACAAAAATGAGGATCACATATCGTTGCTGACGTCCGCAGATGAGTACGGAATGATATTAGCATTTCTAATTATGCGCGTTGCATTAAGATAAAATAAATAAATAAAAGTAAATAAATAAATAAAGATAAAAAAATTGAATTTTAAGTAGAATTTACTATACTCCTTACAATTTATTGTGTGTATATTCCTATTTTATGTTATATATTTCTGTTGATAAAAATTGTTTTTGTTGTTAAAAATCATTCCATTTCTACATTGATCATTTTATTTAACTAATCTATTTTACATATAATAAGATGCTTTATGTAAGTAAAATAATAAAATTTTTAATTATAAAATTTAATATTTTTATACTTTATAATTTAGCAGCTTATATGTTAATTAATTATCTAGTATAATTAATTTAAAACTTTACATGCAGAAATGAGGAAAACACTATATTGGTTGACGAAAATAGAGCAGCGGCTACCATGACTCCGGTACAACTACTTGCAGAATGGCCAGATACGTGTCTACTGATTTCTAGCTGGCTGGGTCATGTAGAATTAGTTAAGGCTTTGATAGAAAAAGGTGTGCCAGTTTCTACGAAAGACAACGATGGAAGGTTTATATCGCTTATAATATATAGACGTCTAAAAATTTATCACAAAAAATTGAAACCGAACTTTTGAAAACTATAATTCATTTATTATGATAGTAATAATTTATACTAGCTAGGAGTAAATCAGATACCTTAATTTATTAGTCAATTAAGCCTGTAATTATAATAAATCATTCGTAAAAGTTATACATTTCCACTATCTCCAGAACACTGCTACATCTGGCAGCATGTACAGCGTCTACGAAGATCGTGGAGGAGCTACTGAAACATGGTGCTGATCCATGTGAGTGGGATTTTGAGAAGAAATATACCCCGTTGCATTGTGCTGCCGCAGCTGGTTGCGTTGATACAGTTAAATGCTTGATCAAGTCAAAGGCAGATGTGGATGCCAGAAGAAGTCCACTTTATTACGCCGTGCTGAACAATGCTGTGGATTGCGTCGAAACTCTACTGCAAGCAGGTGCTGATGCTGATAATCCACAGGTGCTTTTTCATCACAACCACAATTTAAACATAAATTTAGTGGTGAAGTAATATTACAAACCAAAAATTGCTAGTGTAAAATTAAAAAGGCAAACTACTAATTATCTGATACAGCAAATTATGTAGAAACAATTAATTTCTTATTAAAGTAACGTATCTCTTCCAAATATATTTGAGATATCTTCAATGAATTCATTATGATTCGTTGATAGGTTTATACAAAGATGCCTTTGCATGTGGCGGTTACTTTGGGCAATGTTCATTGCATCAAGTTGCTGTTGGATCACAACGCGGATGTGACAATCAAGATGGGACCCACGAAATCGACGCCTTTACACTTGGCGGCAGATAAGGGAAACGTGGAATGCACTAAATTACTGTTGGATGCCGGCGCGAGGACCGATTCAAAGAACTCGAATGGTCAAACGGCGATGCACTTGGCAACGCTCGCCCAATCTGTAGAGACGATAAAGGAGTTGATTAAATTTGGCGCAAATGTGAACGCAGAAGATAAGGAAGGACGCACTCCTCTACATTTTGCGGTTTCAAGTGCCCGGAAAAGCAGCGAACTGGTCAAGACTTTAATAAAAGTTTGTAAATAAAAATTCCTTCAACTCACTGAATAGAATACCTTCTTTTAATTAAAGTAACAAAAAAATTAACTTTACATTTTAAATAAATTATTTTAATAAATTACTTTAACTAATTCTATTTATGTAATAAAAAAAATTTAAATAATGATTTTTATTCTAACAACAGAAGTAATAAAATTACTTTTTTTTAAAGGCAGATGCATCAGTTAATAAGGCGGACAAGGGCGGTTACACACCGCTGCACCTTGCGGCCTTAAACGAGAAATCGCAGACGGTGATGATGTTGTTGTCAAAAGGTGGCGACGTAACAGCGCGTGCCAAAGACGGCGTCACCGCTCTTAGCATCATCGTACGCCGTACTCCGGAGGTGTTATCGCAACTTGCGACGCGTCTCGATCGAGCAGTCACATTACTCGATCACGAGCATGGCGATATAGGCTGTGAACTGCTAGTGGATTTTCGACCATTAGTCCCATTGAGCAGTCGCAACGAAACGGACCTGATGCTCTGTCTGGTGGAGGTCGGTCAGGGTCACAGGCTAAAGCATCCATTATGCGAGAGTTTTCTCCATCTAAAATGGAAGCGTATTCGTAAGTTTTTCGTGCTCAATCTTCTGTTCCATTTAATCTTCGTCGCTTTCTTCACCGGCTTCGTCTGCGCGACATATTTATGGGACGAAAAACAGTTGAACAGAGCCCTCTTCCCGCCAGTATTAACTGTTACCTGCTTATTTGCGATTAAAGAGATCTTCCAAATTACTTATGGTATTTACTATTATACTAAACACTGGGAAAACTGGTTACAGTGGAGCGTAATAGTGGCATCCAGCATCATCTTGATTTATCCACCTCGTCCATGGCAATATCACGTTGCTGCCGTAGGTATTCTGCTGGCTTGGATCGAGCTGATGATTGTGATCGGTTATTTTCCCATGTTTGGTCTCTATGTACAAATGCTTACGCGAGTGTCCATCAATTTCTTCAAATTTCTCACAGCCTACTTTTGTCTCATAATTGGGTTTTCTCTTAGCTTTAATGTGCTGCACGGCAATTACAAGGCCTTCGCTGATCCTCTGCTCAGTATGCTTAAGATGATAGTTATGATGTCCGGTGAGTTGGAATTCGAGGACGTTTTCTTCGATAATAAACTTAAGTATCCTGGCACAGCGCATGTTATGATTCTTTGCTTCGTTATCCTGGTGACAGTGATACTAATGAATCTAATGGTTGGTCTGGCTGTGTCGGATATCCAGGAGATACGTAGAACAGCGGATCTCGAACGATTGGTGCGTCATGCCGAGATAATAGGTCGATTCGAAAATATGCTGTTTTCTAAGTTGATTGATGACACTCATGCGTGTAAAATAATACAAGCGTGCAGAAAGACCACACTATTTTTGCGTCCAGAACAGTGTTCGCAACAGTGTACTATACGTATTCGACCGAATGATCCGCGCGAAAAGTGTCTGCCACGAGAGCTCATTCAGTCGTTGTATCGTCTGGCCGGCGAGAAGAAAATGCGACGAGGAACTTTCCGCGGTGGCGTGTCACCACCTCAAAACCTCGTCGCGAAGGAATCGAAGTATGTGAGATTTAACAGGACGTACAGCAATGTCGGTAATCAACAGCAATTGGATGATCTCGTAGTCGAGTTAAAAGAATGTTCCTATGACATCAGTATCAGGGTTGGATAGCTTGACGAACAAGATAGAGAGTTTCGCACGACAGCAGATTTGACGATGCATTTGTAACATTACGTCGAAAAAATTGTATTCTTAACTTAAGAATATGCCACTTATCTTTAGAATATATAGTATACCACTAAAATAGGCGCCAAGAGGATTCTATTAAGTTGAAAGGAAGATCTTCTAAAGAGATATTTTTAATACACAGAGAAAAACATTTCTTTGGATTTAATAAATTTTGTTGAAGTCAAATAAATTTAATTATTGGTCTAAAAGTTTTTTCCTCCTAATTTCAAATAATCTATTTAATATTCTGAATCCCAACAAGGAATCCAGATTAAATAAATTATTTTAAATTCATCTTGAAATTAAGCTGATGAACAGTGATATCAAAGAGGACGCTGCTCACACGTAGGTTCTCTGTGTGCATGAATTTAAAATAATTTATTTAATCTGGATTCCTTGTTGGGATTCAGAATATTAAACAGATAATTTAAAATTAGGCGGAAAAATACTTTTAGACCAATAATTAAATTTATTTGACTTTAACAAAATTTATTAAATCCAAAGAGATATTTTTCTCTGTGTTAAGAAATATCTCTTTAGAAAAGTTTTCTCTTAACTTAAGAGGATCCTCTTGGCGCTTATTTTAGTGGTATATATTTTAAAGATAAGTGGCATATTCTTAAGTTAAGAATACAATTTTTTCGATGTGACTGCGTACAACATCAGATCATTTTCAACTATGTATGTCAATTCCTCAGAAGTTATCTTCGTTGAACGTTATCATGCGTCCCTACTAAAAAAATTATATCTAAATTTGATAGAATTTTTAATTTACTGTAAATATATAATAATAAGATCATAAAAATGGTTCTTAAATACAAAATACAATCAAAAAAATTGTGAGAACGAAAACCAATAGTAAGCGCTTCAATCTTTCCAATCATCTTCAACAAGTCAACTACATAAAAAAGATCATATAATAGAATTGTCATCAATACTTAAACTAATTCCAGAGGCAGAAAAGTGCACAAACATATTAGCCAAAATGTTTAGAAAACTCAGACTAGTTCTTGAATTGTATAGTATAAACAAAAATAGTAAATATTACTAAAAAAACATTCTATGATCCAGTTATTTTCTAATTATAACAAATTTAATGTAAAGATTTAGAGATATGTAAGACATATGTCGTATCTTTCCAATTGTTAATTTCTATATAATATTAACTTGTTGCGCTAACATATTAATAATTTCTTGTTACATAATATTTTAGCAATAACATTATTAATACAATTATTATTAATTATTATTAATACAAATTTGATATATAATAATTTAATAATTCAAAGATTGTAGGAGAAAAAATAAAATAGCTTAAAGAACTACCAGCATTGATCGTACTGGACAATATCGTACTGCCTGTGTTGCCATGTTCCGAAGCTAGACAACAAGTTACGAGTCTGTTGATTCAAAGCGACAACTCGATTGAAATATTGTTTCTGTGGTGTATATTCTTGTTTATTTCTCTCCAATAGCAAGACTTTCTTGCTTTCCAGTCTTCGATTATTTCCTGAAATAAATATATATGTATTTCCACTCTTTTTCACACACAGAAAATTTGACAAAAACACTTGATGACTTGAAGGAGCAGATATAATATTTTAAGAAAAATGCCTAAATACAATTACAATTCCGTCAACTAAAATCATTACAAGTACACGAATATGTTAATTGATACAATATTTATAAATTAATCCGTATATTAAATTAATACCATAAGTGAAATTATTTTTTCTTCTAGTGTACATAAATCTTAAATTATGTGTTGCATGAAAAATTTTTGTTTATAAAAGTTTTATTTTATATAAAATCATAATTTTTTTATACAGAGTGAGTTTTATTTCGTGTGTCAATCTTTTTATCTTGCGGGAGATTATCGACTGCATAATAAATTGATCCGTACATGAATGTCAATTTTTTTGATTGACCGTATCGAAAGTCCGAATATAATGTGTACAATAATAATAATAATAATACTAATAATAAATACGTAGTTTTATTAATAATAATAATGATGAATCCATACTACATAAGTTTAGCTTTTAATTTGCTTTAATTTTACACATTATATTTAAGACTTTGATACGGTCGATCCAAATAATAATTGACAATAATGAGACATTTATGTACTGATCAATTTATTATGCAGTCGATAATCTCCCGCATGATAAAAAGATTGTCGCACGAAATCAAGAGACATGGTAGTGTCTTGAAGTCGAGTCATCACTCAGACGCAAGACACACCGTGTATCTTTACGCGAATGGCTAAGTTGCGAGTAATGCATATTATCGGTTCTCAATAACCGTTGAATCAATCTGAACTCTTGAATTCTTATTAGGTTCAATCAATTGCTTGGATTCGATTTATATAAGGAAAGTGTCTATTTTTGCTCTATATGCTTTATAAGCAGAAATATAACGATACAAAGTCTCAATGTGAAACTTTTTGATTAAGAAACGTCACCGTCACCGTCGTGACTACATTTTTCACATATTTTTCTTGTACGATTCGCACATTTGACGAAAGAGGCGCTGTGTTGTCGTGACGATGAGAGATGTATAATTTTTTTATCATGCAAGAAATTACCGACTGTAATTAGAATGAATTGATCGGTACATAGTATACTTTCCAATTCACGCATGATGCGCATGAAGTGACAGAAAATGTATAGTTCATGTCACGCATATTATACATTTTCTGTCACTTTATGCGCATCATGTGTGAATCGGAAAGTACCCACAGATGTCAATTATTTGAATCGACCATGCATAACCAATGTAATACTTATCCAAATAATTTCTACCTATGTATCGATTAATTTATTGCAATTGCAATCACCCAGATAGCAAGCACACGTCATTTTGACGTTTCAAATTGGTCATTCACTGACTATTCTTGACGTCACAAATTGACGTTTTTATGACGTAAAAGTAACGCTCTAATGTCACAGATTCTTGACATCATGACATGTACCGCATTTTGACGTTTTTCTCTTAGCATAATAATATATTTAATAATGTTGTCGAATAAAGCACTCTCTAAAAATGAATCAGTGTATTATCACTGAAAAACAGTAAATAATCACTGATTACAGTAATTATAAGTACAGCGCTGTAAATCAGTGATATTTTATTGAAAGAATCAGTTAATAATTTTGACTATTTCAGTAATATCTCAATAATATTTCTTTCGTTATTGCCAGTAATATTAAACTACATTTCATCTCTCTATTTTATAAATATAATATAAATATAATATAATAAATATAAAAATATAATATAATAAATATAAATAGAATAAATATAAAAAAAAAATATATATATATATAAATAGTAATATATATATATATATATATATATATATACAATATATATAAATATAATATATATATATATATATATATAAATATATATAAATATATAAAAAATCTGATCGCGAAATAAGTCATGTTATATAAGAAATTTTAAAAGATTTTTTTTATGGGATCGATGTACTAACTAATGACATTCATAATAAAATAATCGTCACTTCATGACTGAAAAATGACGTCAAAATAATGTTATATCAAGAATTCAATATAAAGTCATGTAACAATGATCAGTCATTTTGACGACATATGACCAAAAATGACTAATTTGGAACGTCAAAATGACGTGTGCTTGCTACCTGGGCAGTAATCCCTCGCATAAAAAAAATTGGTACACGAAATAAAACTCATCTTATAAGCAGTCTCCTGCACTATCACATTATCTAGTAACATTAATAACAGATTTCTAAAGTTATTTAGAAACGATTTTTCTTCACTGAAAATGTCGAAGGTTTGTAACTAAATCTAAAATTAAAATTTTATTAAAGTGAACTTCACCTGGAATTAATTGAATAATGTAGCTTTGTTAATATTTTAACTTTACGAAGTTTGCAAAAAGTATATTAAGTAAAGAAGATCGTCATATTTTAATGAAATGACGGGGCTGGTGGCGGATTCTTTGCTTATTTATTTGGATATTTAACATATCCTCAAAAATTAACTTTAAAAAGTATAAAAAAATTAATCATGTGTCAGTATTAAATTGTAAAAAATTTTATGTTATTGTATAATATAAAACTGTTTTATGCACAAGACATAGTATTATTTAAACTACAAAAATGTTATATTAAAGAAAGTTAATGTGCAAAATAGTTATTTCTTAATTGTCTACAAAAATTAGTGATATCCTAAAAAAATTACCTTTTCAAAAAAAGGTAAAAAAAAGAAGTCGAGTCATCTCAGTAGTAAAACATTATTGTATAGAACTATTTTACAAAAAATTATTGTAATAAAAAATTGCTGTATTAAAAAAAATTGTGTAAAATAGTTGTCATAACTATCTACAAAAATTAATGATATATTTAAATACAAAATTACGTCAAGAATAAAAGAGTGCGATTTTATTTTATGTTTATCAACAATGTGTGCGTGTGCGTGTGCGTGCGTGTGCGTGCGTGTGCGTGTGTGTGTGTGTGTGCGTGCGCGCGCGCGCGCGCGTGTGTGTGTGTGTGTTAGATGTGATTGACTGCTGATAAATAATTAGACGAAAAAAAATTATGTTTATATTTTCGTTGAAAGTTATTACATCTTTGTCGTGAAAGTCAGAATCCCGATTTCTTCAACGCTGAACAATTGATTCATGTAGCTCGTAATTTAAAAAATTTTAATTATTAAAAAACTCGACGCTGCTGAATAATATACAAATAAATTTGGCAGCGTAGAGTTTTTTAATAATTAAAATTTTTTAAATTACGAGCTACATGAATCAACTGTTCATCGTTGAAGAAATCGGGATTCTGACTTTTACGACAAAGATGTAATAACTTTCGACGAAAATGTAAACATAATTTTTCTTCATCTAATTATTTATCAGCAGTGAATCACATCTAATACACACACACACACACACACACACACTGTTGATAAACATAAAATAAAATTGCACTCTTTTATTCTCGACGTAATTTTCTATTTAAATATATCATTAATTTTTGTAGATAATTATGACAACTATTTTACACAATTTTTTTTAATACAGCAATTTTTTATTAAAATAATTTTTTGTAAAATAGTTTTATACAATAATGTTTTACTACTGAGATAATTCGACTTCTTTTTTTTACCTTTTTTTGAAAAGGTAATTTTTTTAGGATTGAGATAACTGCCGTTCATGATATCCTCAGCGAAGATTTGCATCAGCAACGTCAAGTCGCTGAAACCCAGATTCACATTTTGACTGGAAGAATGGATGTTTTCGGTGTGCTGCCACATCCTCTAAAAATGAAAATATCAATGTTAAACAGAAAATAAAAAAATATTGAATTGTTACAATAATGATAATAAAATCTTTATAAAGAAATTTCAATACAATTTTCATTTTAAGATAAATTTTGAGAAATATGTTGTCATAATTTTCATTGAGATTAATCCAGAGATCCATTCAGTTATATTTCTTTAATCGAGATCACTCATATTGCAAATTTTCTTACTCTTTCAACACTGTGATTGTATGCGGTGATTACTGCTACGGAAGCAATTGCATATGGGTCTACAGAGACAGATTTGCAAGCAGTTAGTGAAACGCCTGCATGCTGCTCACGATATCGTTCTTCGGATAGTTTCGCCACATTGTTTATAAACTTCTCTTCCAAAATTTTTAGCTCTCTTCAGGTTTCTTCTCTCTCTCGGTTGTCATGAACGGATAGAATCTGTACGAGAATTATATAGATAGAATTATATATCCTCGTGGCTAAATCAGGTATTAATCTTTTTCATTGTATATAAAAATCCGAAAAATAAGGTACATAGATTCAAATTTTTTGAACTTTTATATTACATTATTCGAGGAAAATCAAATGAAAATTAATAGCAGTTGTTTCCTGAGAGATGACAGTTTTCTTTTTTGATTTTACTACACATTTTTGTATCTTGTTATAATATATATAATTCAATTCGCCATAAGATTTTTCCTCGATTCTTTGGTGATTAATTTCTGTGCAAATCGCCAACACAATTTATGACACAGTTTCTAAAGGATATACAAAACCACTTACCACTAATACATACATCATTCCTTATTCGCGGAAATTCTATTAAGTAGGGGAATAAGTTACCGCAAGTAACGTGATAATAAGTCCAATTAAAAGAAACCTCTGTCAAGCAACGATGTTCTTCGTAGGCTGAAATTGATTGAGGAATATTATAATTTCTCAAGAAATTCAAACATCAACGAGCAACTCTTAAAGATAATATTACCTCGGAGAGTTTGACAGTTGCAACAATCGTGCTGCCAGTTTGGATAGGACATATACATCGTTTTTCGCACAATTGAATTTTACTAACGGCATACACCTAAAACAAATAGGTATGTTCTTTTTTTATTTTATTATGACATCAATGTTAAATTATATCTTAAAATTACCAACCCCGTCCTGAGATGATAATTATCGGGTTAACGCCAAAATGATACATGTTGTGAAGAACGAGTTTAACGATTTATAATAAACGTTACAAAAATAAAAGTCAGATCTGATCCAGAATTCAAAATTTCAACACAAATGCCAGAGATGGTATGCATCCAATAGTAAACATAATATCATTCTATTTATACACAAACTATCTAAGTAGCAAGCACATTTTATTTTGACATTTTAAATTGATCATTCACTGACTATTCTTGACGTGACGAGTTGACATTTTTATGACGTAAAAGTAACGGTCTAATGTCACAGATTATTGACATCATAACATGAATCACATTTTGACGTCATAAAATGTACCATTTTGAAATCTTTTTCTTAACATAATAATGTATTTAATAACGTTTTCGAATAAAGAAGATTAACCGATTCGAGAGCATCATTGAACAATTATAGCCATTCTATTCTTTAAAAGAATCTTAGATCAATTAAACTGCTTTATTCAAAAACGCTGGTAAAACGACTAAAAGTGATCAGTTTGGAGATGTCAAAATGATGTGTGCTGGATATTATTGCTAAAGATTACATTTTGATACAATGTTTCATTAGAATATACATCTCAGGTAGCAAAAATAATCATTTTAATGCTAAATTACATGAAAATGACATCAAAATTACTACATTTTCTACTTGAAAATTTATATTTATATAAAAATTATTAAAAAATATTTAATGTTACTAATATTTTATTATTAATATCACTAAAATAAGAAAACAATTATCTTCTTCAGATTTATAATTTTTCTATGACAAAAATCATGTAACTGTTATGCAGAAAATAAATCTTTCGAAATGTATAAAACATTATAATAATTAAAGATATATGTATATATTTAGTACTAAAATATAAATAATATAAAATTAGCATTTCTTAATCAGATTGCCTCTTTCTTTAACTTTCCTCCCAACTTGAAGTGAAAATAAATCAACCGTTTTCGTTGTATAAACGAGTTTCTAAAATATATTTTTTAGTGTCTTTCAATTAATTAAAAAGATTCTTAAAAAGATACACACGCTGGTATGATTGTTTCGAATGATATCATTAATAATAAGATAATCATTCTTAGCAAGAATTCTATAGGAAAAGTATTTGTACTGACGAAGATTTTTTTTCTTTTTTATCTTCGTCGTTGGAAGAATAGGAAAGAAATACGAGAGATTTATGGAAGTTATATAAATGTATTACATGTATTTTACAAACACATATGCCTATATGTTGTGGATAAACAGAGTCAGTACTATTACTTAAGTATCATGATAACCAAGAGCGCGCAACAGGAAGTCGATTTAACATCGAGATAATTATAGAGTTGTACAGACAAGATATTTGCATGATGAATCATCATCACGTAATATTAACCTTTGAAAAATCTTATATCGTGAAGCAGTATATTGCGTGTTAATCGTGGAAACAACACTGTTGCTAAAAAATAGCGTCGAGCTGATTCAATCCTTTGCATTTGATAGTTTTTTCGCTTTTTAAAAAACTAGCAACTCAAAATGTTTTGATGAAAAAGTGATGAAATTTTTTACCACCAACATAAAAATAAACAATATATAAATTAACAGATATGGAGAATTATTGTAGAGAACTATTGCATGTTTCAAAAATTCATGTATTTTTACATTATAGAAAATTTTATATCGAATATTCAATTACTATAATCAACAATAGTTGAAACAATAAGTACAAGGATTTACTACAAAGTGTACCTAAATCGAACATAAACAGTTAGTGTCGCCTCGCACTCGCCATTCGAGTTGCCTCTTCAAATCAAGTGACGATTGATTGTGAAAGTCGTTTCTCAAGTGCAAAAAATCAATATTCTATATCAATTCTCAATGTGACTATAATGTGTGTATGTCATTTTATTTAATCCGGATATCTTTTTAAGAATGCGAGTCCAAAGAAACATATTACTTTGCCGAGTCTCAGTAGGAAGAACTTCGAGTGAGGCAATCATTTGATACGAGAAAGAACGCTTAGGATACAGACTGTAAAAACAAAAGATCCAACATTATGAGTAAGGTCAGTGAAAGAAACAATCATTGATGGTCTTTCGATTGTTCTATATCTTGACGTAAATTATATTTAGAAAGGATATCAGAATATATGGAGGAGGCGGACAACAAATCCGCAGACATCTAGCAGCTCCGAGGGCAGCTTGGAATCCGTCATATGTCACGCAGCACAAGACGAGTCGACGACGCAGAAACAACCTTGGAGCAAGGAGGAGATCGAAAAAGCATTATCAAGTCTTCCGAGAGGCGACATAGCTTTATCTCTGATTCCTACTCTTCATGGTGATGCTCTACAAAAGGTTCTGGAAGAATTTCAATGTGTGACTCTTAACAAAAATGAGGATAGCAAGCATAGCATATCGTTGCCCACGTGTGCAGATGAGTACGGAATGATATTAGCATTTCTAATTATGCGCGTTGCATTAAGATAGAATAAATAAATAAAAATAAATAAATAAATGAAGACAAAAAATTAGAATTTTAAATAGAATTTGTCATGCTTCTTATAATTTACTGTGTGTATATTCCTATTTTATGTTATATATTTCTGTTGATAAAAATTGGTTTCGTTGTTAAAAATCATTCTAATTCTACATTGATCATTTTATTTAACTAATCTATTTTACATATAATAAGATGCTTTATGTAAGTAAAATAATAAAATTTTTAATTATAAAATTTAATATTTTTATACTTTATAATTTAGCATTTTATATGTTAATTAATTATCTAGTATAATTAACTTAAAACTTTACATGCAGAAATGAGGAAAACGCTATATTGGTTGACGAAAATAGAGCAGCGGCTACCATGACTCCGGTACAACTACTTGCAGAATGGCCGGATACGTGTCTACTGATTTCTAGCTGGCTGGGTCATGTAGAATTAGTTAAGGCTTTGATAGAAAAAGGTGTGCCAGTTTCTACGAAAGACAATGATGGAAGGTTTATATCACTTATAATATATAGACGTCTAAAAATTTATCACAAAAAATTGAAACCGAACTTTTGAAAACCATAATTCATTTATTATGATAGTAATAATTTATACTAGCTAGGAGTGAATTATCAGATTTATTAGTCAATAAACCTGTAATTATAATAAATCATTAGTAAAAGTTATACATTTCCACTATCTCCAGGACACTGCTACATCTGGCAGCATGTACCGCGTCTACGAAGATCGTGGAGGAGCTACTGAAACATGGTGCTGATCCATGTGAGTGGGATTTCGAGAAGAAATATGCCCCGTTGCATTGTGCTGCCGCAGCTGGTTGCGTTGATACAGTTAAATGCTTGATCAAGTCAAAGGCAGATGTGGATGCCAGAAGAAGTCCACTTTATTACGCCGTGCTGAACAATGCTGTGGATTGCGTCGAAACTCTACTACAAGCAGGTGCTTGTCCTGATAATCCACAGGTGCTTCTTCATCACAACCGCAATTTAAACATAAATTTATTGGAGAAGTAATATTATAAACCAAAAATTACTAGTGTAAAATTAAAAAGGCAAACTACTAATTATCTGTTACAGCGAATTATGTAGAAATAGATAAAGAAATTTTAGGCTCTGTTATGTATTAAAACAACCTTTCATCCACGAGAATCTCACACTTAAAGGATTATTCGAGAAAAGAGCTATTAAGAGCCAACGCGGATGGTAGTGCGTGAAATTTTTAAAAGATTAGTAATTCGCGAAAATTAAAACGCGTTTGAAAAATTATTGACATATGTCTATATTTTATTATACTTGGTGCATAAACCAAGATATAGCTATTCTCAATTCGAGAACACACTATGAAACTCCTCTTTTCCCCCCTGAAGAGACGTTTTCGCGAATTATTAATCTTTTAGAAATTTCACGCACTACCATCCGCGTTGGCTCTTAATAGCTCTTTTCTCGAATAATCCTTTAGGTGTAAGATTCTCGTGGATGAATTATGTAGAAACAATTAATTTCTTACTAAAATAACGTATCTCTTCCAGATATATTTGAGATGTCTTCAATGAATTAATTATGATTCGTTGATAGGTTTATACAAAGATGCCTTTGCATGCGGCGGTTACTTTGGGCAATGTTCATTGCATCAAGTTGTTGTTGGATCACAACGCGGATGTGACAGTCAAAATGGGACCCACGAAATCGACGCCTCTACACTTGGCAGCGGATAAGGGTAATGTGGAATGCATTAAATTACTGTTGGACGCCGGCGCGAGGACCGATTCAAAGAACTCGAATGGTCAAACGGCGATGCACTTGGCAACGCTCGCCCAATCTGTAGATACGATAAAGGAGTTGATTAGATTTGACGCAAATGTGAACGCAGAGGATAAGGAAGGACGCACTCCTCTACATTTTGCGGTTTTAAGTGTCCGGAAAAGCAGCGAACTGGTCAAGACTTTAATAAAAGTTTGTAAATGAAAATTCCTTTAACTCACTGAATAGAATACCTTCTTTTAATTAAAATAATAAAAAAATTAACCTCACATTTTAAATAAATTTTTTTAATAAATTACGTTAACTAATTCTATTTATGTAATAAAAAAATTTAAATAATGGTTTTTATTCTAACAACAGAATTAATAAAATTCTTTTTTTTTAAAGGCAGGTGCATCAGTTAATAAAGCGGACAAGTGCGGTTACACGCCGCTGCATCTTGCAGCATTGAACGAGAAATCGCGGACGGTGATGATGTTGTTGTCAAAAGGTGGCGATGTAACAGCGCGTGCCAAAGACGGCGTCACCGCTCTTAGCATCATCGTACGCCGTACTCCGGAGGTGTTATCGCAACTTGCGACACGTCTCGATCAAGCAGTCACATTACTCGATCACGAGCATGGCGATATAGGCTGTGAACTGCGAGTGGATTTTCGACCATTAGTCCCATTGAGCAGTCGCAACGAAACGGATTTGATGCTCTGTCTAGTGGAGGTCGGTCAAGGTCACAGGCTAAAGCATCCATTATGCGAGAGTTTTCTCCATCTAAAATGGAAGCGTATTCGCAAGTTTTTCGTGCTCAATCTTCTGTTCCATTTAGTCTTCGTCGCTTTCTTCACCGGTTTCGTCTGCGCGACATATTTGTGGAACGAAAACCCGCTGAGCAGTGTCCTTTTCTCGCCAGTATTAACTGTTACCTGCTTATTTGCGATTAAAGAGATCTTCCAAATTACCTATGGTATTTACTATTATACTAAACACTGGGAAAACTGGTTACAGTGGAGCGTGATAGTGGCATCCAGCATCATCTTAATTCCTCCATTTCAATATCCATGGCAATATCACGTTGCTGCCGTAGGTATTCTGCTGGCCTGGATCGAGCTGATGATTGTGATCGGTTATTTCCCCATGTTTGGCCTCTATGTACAAATGTTTACGCGAGTGTCCATCAATTTCTTCAAATTTCTCACAGCCTACTTTTGTCTCATAATTGGCTTCTCTCTTAGCTTTAATGTGCTGCACGGCAGTTACAAGTCCTTCACTGATCCGTTGCTCAGTATGCTTAAGATGATAATTATGATGTCCGGTGAGCTGGAATTCGAGGACGTTTTCCTCAATGAGCCACTTAAGTATCCTGGCACGACGCATGTTATGATTCTTTGCTTCGTTATCCTGGTAACAGTGATACTAATGAATCTAATGGTTGGTCTGGCTGTGTCGGATATCCAGGAGATACGTAGAACAGCGGATCTCGAACGATTGGTGCGTCATGCCGAGATAATAGGTCGTTTCGAAAATATGCTGTTTTCTAAGTTGATTGATTACACTCATGCGTGTAAAATAATACAAGCGTGCAGAAAGACTACTCTATTGTTGCGTTCACCGCAACAGTGTGCTATACGTATTCGGCCGAATGATCCGCGCGAAAAGCGTCTGCCACGAGAGCTCATTCAGTCATTGTATCGTCTGGCCGGCGAGCAGAAAATGCGACGAAGAACTTCCCGCGATGGCGCGCCTAAGCCACCACCCCAAATCCTCGTCGCGAATGAATCGAATTATGTGAGACTCCACAGAACGTACAGCAATGACGGTAATCAACAGCAACTGGACGAACTCGTGGCTGAGCTAAAGGAATATTCCCATGACATCAGTATCAGGTTGGATAGCTTGACGAACAAGATTGAGAGTTTCGCCCGACAACAGATTTGACGATGCATTTGTAACATTATTAATATTGCCTAATGTTTTATATGGTTGAACAATTGAACTGCTTTAAAAAAGCGAAACCGAGACTCGGATGGTCTATCGAAACAGAATCTGAAATTCAAAGTAGGAACGCAAAGATGTGATATACTCAAGTAACTACACTGAGAAAAATCGTTTGATTGTATCAACAAGATGTATATGATTGAAGGCATATTGGTCAAACAAGAATTTCTAGTTATCATGATAAGACTCGATCTTTTATAACTAGAGCGTTTAATAGATTTTACTATAAGAATTTGGTTAATATTTTCTGGTTGGATCTATAAAATTTCTTGTTACATTAATTTCTTTGCTTGCCGTTAGGCGACAAGCCATTGTTAACTTAACTCGTATTCAATATTTGCCATGACATGAATATAAAGAACTAGTATTAACATTAAATTCAAAGTATATTTTTTTTCTCTTACGAGCAGTAGTGTTAGAAAGAGGACGCTAGCTCTCTGATTATGTGTGTTTGAGCTGCATGCTCTTCTTGCATCACTATTTATCAGTTTAATTTCTAACAAACTGAATTTAAAATAATTTATTCAATAATCTGGATTGAATTTATCGAATAATCTTGTTGCAACAACAAGATAAGGAAACTAGCGTCTCTGAGCTATAGCGGATGGTAATGTCGCCTAAAGAGGGTTTTATAGAGTTCTCAAAAATGAGAATCTATATATCTTGGTAAATGCACCAAGTAAAATATATGCATATGCCTTGTTCTCGTTTAAATTTTCGATATATTATCACGTAGACTCGTGTGGCAAACACTGTATATTAGTGAGATAACTGCCGTTCATGACATCCTCAGCGAAGATTTGCATCAGCACCATCAAGTCGCTGAAATCCAGATTCACATTTTGACCGGAAGAATGGATGTTTCCGGTGTGCTCCCACGTTCATAAAAATGAAAATATCAATGTTAAACAGAAAATAAAAAAATATTGAATTGTTACAGTGATAATAATAAAATAATAATAAAATCTTTATAAAGAAATTTCAATACAATTTTCATTTTAAGATGAATTTTGAGAAATATGTTGTTATAATTTTCATTGAGAGTTGATCTCTTTAATTTCTCGTTTTAATACATGATTCATTCAGCTATATTTCTTTAATCGAGGTCACTTTTAATATTGCAAATTTTCTTATCCCTTCAACACTGTGATTGTATGCGGTGATTGCTGCTACGAAGGCAATTGCATCTACAGAGACAGAGTTGCAAACAATTAGTGAAATGCATCCTGCACGATACTGTTCTTCGAATAGATTCGCCACATTGTTTATAAACTCCTCTTCCAAAATTTTCAGCAGTTTCTTCTCTCTCTCGGTTGTCACGAACAAAACGAACTAATAGAATCTGTATGAGAATTATATAGATAAAATTATATATCATCGTGGCTAAATCAGATATTAATCTTTTTCATTGTTTATAAAAATCCAAAAAATAAGGTACTTTGATTCAAATTTTTTGAACTTTTATATTACATTATTCGAGGAAAATCAGATGAAAATTAATAGCAGTTGTTTCCTGAGAGATGACAGTTTTCTTTTTTGATTTTACTACACATTTTTGTATTTTGTTATAATATACATAATTCAATTCGCCATAAGATTCCTCGATTCTTTGGTGATTAATTTCTCAGCGAATTAATTTCTCACCAACACAATTTATGACATAGTTTCTAAAGGATACACAAAACCACTTACCACTAATACATACATCATTCCTTGTTCGCGGAAATTCTATTAAGTAGGGGAATAAGTTACCGCAAGCAACGTGATAATAAGTCCGATTAGAAGAAACCTCTGCCAAGCGGCGATGTTCTCCGTAGGCTGAAGTTGATTGATGAATATTATAATTTCTCAAGAAATTCAAATATCAACGAGCAACTCTTAAAAATAATATTACCTTGGAGAGTTTGACAGTTGCAACAATCGTGCTGCCAGTTTGGATAGGACATATACATCGTTTTTTGCACAATCGAGTTACTAACGACATGCATAAACATGCATATACTTTCCAGTAGCAAGACTTTCTTGCTTTCTATTCTTCGATTATTTCATGAAATAAATATATTTCCATTCGTTTTCACACACAGAAAGTTTAACCAAAACACTTAATGACTTGAAAAAGCAGACTATTTTAAGAAAAATGTCTAAATACAATTACAATTTCGTCAACTAAAAATCATTACAAGTATCCCAGATAGCATAGAACATTCTATGGACGTTTATTTTATGTCCATTTTTCATCTGCACGTCCATGGACATGAAATTAACGTTTATCATACATCCAGACATCTGTTAGCGGCCTATATTTGAACGTCCACAAGATGCTCAACCTTGGATGTCAAAGTTAAGGCGCCCGTTTGTCACAACTTCGAACATTCAAAATAATACACAAAAAAGGACCTAAAAATGGACGTCATTTTCAGTGCCCTACTCTTCCAAATTATTGTTGAAATAAACATCAAAAATTAATAAACTCAGAAAAAAGTTTATATTTAATTATGTATAATCGTGTAGATATAATTATGTATGGATTTTGACCTAATTTAATCATATATGGAAAATTATTCTTCATTATACGTAAATAAATCGCATTGTGCATCTTTTATAACATATAAAACATAAATTTTTTGGCCCAACAAAATTAAATAATAAAATAAAATGATATAATTTATCTATTTCATATAAAACTTTACTTAAAATTCATGTAAAAATGTTATTTATATTTATACTTGCTTATTGCACTCTACATTTTAAATAGGTAATAAACCGTGAAATATTCATTTTTTGATTATTTGATCTTAATACTTTTATGTACAAATTAATGAGAGGAATCAATTGTGAAGAAAACACATAGTTATTTTTATAAAACACTATGTAATTATCGAGGTCTGTTTTTCTTAAAATGAGACACCCGATATATATTGTTGTGTCCACAAAACGATATATCGAACGCGCACAACACAATCGATCGGCAAACGCTACTCACGCGACATTCGCGCATTCATAAATAATAACACGAATGTTTAAGAAACTCGAACACAGAAACTTTAATAAATCACAATGATAACACAGGCCTGCAAGATTTATTTTTTAAGATGCAGTAGTGATTTCCGACGTAATTTTGTGCGCTGAATCCGAATCTGGCCTCCGAATTTGCGTAGCATGTCATGTTTTTGAGTAATTTGTAATTGAATGGTTCAAAAATCACTATTTTGGCCAATTTCATGAAGTTATTGCGAGGAAACCAAATTTTTTGAAATATTTTTTCCAATGGCATCGTATAATACTCACTTTCGCTTTTCAAATCCACTTTCGATTACCACCGCACGATTTTTCTTCGCTGAGACATATAAGTATCACGTTGTAAGAAAATTTACGTTAAAGAAAATTTCTATAGACATCAATATGGTAGATCCATGATGTTGAAAGTTGAAAAGACTGATATATGTCATTCGGTTGTCCAAAAGTATTGTAAAGAAATATCTAATACAGTTGTTACACATTTTGATAAATTTGTCTAAATTTTATGCCTTTTTATTGTGATTCTATTCGCCATATTGGATGCGCCATTTTTAATTTCAAAAGGTGACAGAAGGTTTAAAAATGTATATTTTTATCCTAATTTTGATTCGTAGTGAAATAAAGAGGTGGCACAATTGATTTAGAATGGCTTATTAGATCCTTATGCATGACCAGTCTTATGACTTGTATATCTGAGCGAAAAAAAATCGTGCGGCAGAGTAATCAAAAGTGGATTCGAAAGATGAAGGTAAATACTATACGATGCCATTGACAGAAATATTTCAAAAAATTTGATTTACTCACAATAAATTCATGAAATTGGCCAAAATAGCGATTTTTGGGCTATTTAACTACAAATAACTCAAAAACCTGGCTGTGCTACGCAAATTCGGCGGCCAGATTCGAATTCAGCGCACAAAATTACGTCAAAAATCACTATTGCATCTTAAAAAGAAATGTTAATTCCCTTTTTTGCAGGCCTGTGTTATTTGTGTGTATTATTGTAATGTTATTTATATGTTATAGATTAGATTGATTAAGATAGATAGATTTATTTATTTCTTATCTTTCGGCATTAAAGAGGATTTTACATAAAATATACATTGCAGACTTTATAATATGCTTAAATTATGTTGTTTCTTATCCTAAATTATTTCAAAAAGTAATAAAGCTCTCTGTAAATTCAAAATTAAAGTGATCAAGTAAAGACGTAGAGAGCTAAAGACCAAAATCAATAATATAGATTAGTTAATCAAAATATATATTAATAATTCATAATTACAAGCTCAAAACAAACAGATATAATATATAGTTATTAAAGATGTGTGCGGACTTACTTTTAAGTCATCTTCAGCGCAAAGTTTATATCGAAAATAGAGCATTTTATAAAAAAGTTTGCAGAGAAAGAAAGCAGTAAAAATATACGCAGAAAAAATATAAACTAGTACTAATCTTAAAGAAGATACAACTCCAAACGCTAAAAACGGAGCGATTGTTCATATTTAATTGTAAACGGCTTCCGATTATTTCCATATGAAGTGAAACCACTCTCATTTGGGTTAATTGGCCTAAAGATGAGTATGGTTCCTTAGAAAATCTGTAAAATCGTATAAAAATAAAAATAAAAATAAAGAGACTATAGAAAATTATTAAGCACTGTAAGTGTTTTTGAAGGGTCAAATAATAATTGAAAATAAAATTAATAATAGGTTTAAAAAAAATAATAAATAATATTAAATAATAGAAAAATAAATAAATAATGAAAAGGAAAAATAATGAGTCAGTAACATAAAATAATGATTGTCATTGGTATAAAAATCAAAGATATGTGCAGTCCAATAACAATTAGGTAATTAAAATAAGAAAATAAAAAAATAAAAAATAAAAAAATATACAAAAAATATACAAAAATTTTTATAATTAAACTTGTGCGGAATTTAAAAAAGTTTTATATGGACATAAAAATCATTAAGATAAAACTAACGTTTTCCAATATTATTATAAATACGATGTTTCTAATATTAATGATAAGTGGTTTATTAACATGTCATCAATTCAGCTTCCTGATAATATTAAAAGTTTTTTACAGTTAGGTGGAAATTTTAGCTTACCGGTATTTACTAAGACTCGCAATTTGCTACTACA